CCTGTCACCGCCCACCTCCTCCTCCCTGCTGACTGGTACGTGAGCCCGTCATTCCACGTCAGCCTGCTCCACCCCTACGTGCCATCCACCAGCCAACTGCCCCGCAACAGCCCAGCTAGCATGACACGACCGCTGACAGAACCAATCATCACGCCGGAGAAGATTCTGAGCCACCGAGTACGTGACCCACGAGGAGCTTGTCGGATCGAATTTTTGATCCGCTGGAAAGACCGAACGCCCACTGAGGACAACCGGGTTCTCCTGGACAAAATTGAGAACCACCCCGTCCTCACAGCGTACCTGCGCAGCCGAAATTTCCGGGAAGTACACACGCTTTCGTATGGAGGGCCTCCTTACGGGGGGGGTAGTGTAAGGAAAATTCCTTTTCCTTACTTCGCGTCCCTGCTCAGCGCGTACACCACTGTTCCCGCCAACAGCACCCAACAGTAATCCGTTACCACTCGCGACATTCGCCTCGACACTGTTCCCTCCACTGTTCACGACGCGACCCAACCTCACGGTTCGGTTGGTTACCAGCGCTCTGGACCTCCGCCTCGTCATTTTCCAACCTCGGCGCCAGGCCCATCGCGCCCCCCATTTTCACGCATTACCGTTACCACCATAGTTTCGCTATATGTTCTTCGCTCATGCCTTCGCTCATTGTACTTTTCCTTCGATAGTGCAATTCTCGTTCGATCACTCAATTGCACTTGTAACAATGCTGATCTTGTTGTCGAATTATATCCGTTTTATGTAGGGCATTTATCTTAGCGGTAACACTCATGGAGCTTGAACGCACGCGAGGTAAGCTACGTTTCCAAATCGTAACAGAGATGTCTTCTCATCGCCACCATGGTAACCAGTATTGCCGAGATGGTCAACATTATTGTCTGAATGGTAATGAACAGTGCATCCGGAAATCCTGGCTGGTAACTTCGCATTCCAACCAAACTGTACACCGTACAAATCAGGTTTGACTCAGCAAAATGAAACTGACTGTCCACGTATACACCCACAGAATGCGCAATTCTGTTTAGTATACCATCGCTTACAAACGCAAAACGTTACATGCAGGTATTCGATATAATTTCCTATCACTATTATAGCAATCATCTTACGAAAACTCTGGAGAAGCAAAAGTAACATGACTATGTAAAATCTGGGATCGAATTATCTGTGAATACAGTCCATATCATGCCTTAAATGCGTTATTTATTATATTAATAAAATGTTTTATTTTTCATGCAGTCTTTATTGTCAAACTTATATGCTATAGTCTATCTAGGCTGTAGTGGGGTAGATACTATAGGGTAAAACACTTCTAGGTTTCCTACTTGTACCCACATGTTTCCTAGTCAATTCATTCCTCATTCTTCACATGGTATCAGAGCGGGTTCCCTAGTGGGACCGTTTCTTCCTAAGCGCCCACCTTCGAATTTTTTTTTAGCCTGCCCGAAGCGCGCTTCGCGTCCTGCCCTAAAATATCGCGGCCCCTTAGTGGCCTGCCCCTTCACGGCCCCTTAGTGGCCCCTTCGCGGCCCTCTTAGCGGCCCCACTTCGCGGCCCCTTCACGGCCCCTGTCGCGACCTCTTAAGGCTCTACCCCCCCCCCCCCCCCCCCCCCCCCTTCGCGGCCCTTCGCGGCCCCCTCACGGCCCTTCGCGGCCCCTTCGCGGCCCTTCGCGGCCCCCCTCTCGGCCCTTCGCGGCCTCTCCGCGGCCCTTCGCAGCCCCTTCGCGGCCCCTCCGCGACCCTTCGCGGCCCTTCGCGGCCCCTTCACGGCCCCTCCGCGGCCCCTTGGCGGCTCTTCGCGGCCCCTTCAAGGCCCCTCTGCGGCTCTTCGCAGCCCTGCCGCCCCGTCATCGCCGCCCCACCAGCAGCTGCCGTCGCGTCTGCTGCCGCTGCCGCTTCCGCCACGGCTGTTCGCCGCCGCCGCTGCTGCCGTGACAGCCGCCGCCGCTTCTACCGTGACAGCCGCCGCCGCTCCTGCCGTGACAGCTGCCGCCGCTGCTGCTGAGACAACCGCCGCTGCCGCTGCCGTGACAGCCGCCGCCGCAGTCCCGGTCCTACCCTGCAGCCGAGTTGCGGCCCTCCTCTGCCGCCCTGTTGCGGCCCTGATCCTGCCGGGGCACCTCGGCCCTGCCCCACCACTTGCGGGCTTCTACCCACCCGCCCCTGGTAAGCGCACCGCCAAGCCGCACCCCTCCTGCTGCTGCTACTGCTAACCTGCTTCTGGTGCTGCTGCTGCTAGCCTGCTGTTGCTGCTGTCATGGCTAGTCCCAACGTTCTTACCTTTGATGCTGAGGGTCGAGCGGTAGACTTTGAGGTCTGGATAGATGATCTGCAGCTTTTCCTGCAGTGCGATAGCAAACACGACCTCTCACTTTTCGATCTCACGTCTGGCGCCTCTACTGCCCCTGCTGCCGATGCTGACAGTACTGTTCGCTCACAGTGGACCACACGCGATGCTGCTGCCCGTCTTGCTGTGCGTAGTCACCTGCCGTCCACTGAGCGCGCGCACTTTAGCCAGTACAAGACTGCTAAGACCTTGTACGACGCGGTAGTTACACGCTACTCCTCCCCTGCCACTGCTGCCCTTAGTCGCCTCATACTGCCGTACCTGTTCCCTGACCTCGCCGCCTTTGCCACAGTCGCTGACCTCATTACGCACCTCCGCACTAGTGACACCCGCTACCGCGCTGCGCTTCCTGCTGAGTTCTGCGCCAAGAACCCCCCCCCTATGTACATCACCCTCTACTACCTAATCACCCGACTCCCTGACTCCCTTCGCTCGGTCAGGGACCACTTCCTCTCTGTTTGCCCCACCACACTCACCGTTGACCTGCTCGAGGAGCGCCTCCTTGCAGCTGAGAAGAGTATAGTCGCTGTAGGAGCCTCTCGTGGTGACCCTCGTGCCCCTTTCTTTGAGGGGTGTTCCCCCGTCCCCCTTTTGCCCTCTGTTGCCTCTGCTGCTGCTGTCGACCTCGTTGGCACCGAGTCGGTCAGCGCTGCGTCTGCCCCTAGCGGGAGGCGCCGCAACGGCAAGGGCAAGGGGGGCAAGGGTGCTGGGGGAGCGGGCGGGGGCGGTGGTGGTGGCGGTGGGGGCGGCGGAGGGGGTGGGGGTGGCGGTGGGAGTGGTGGCGGGGGTGGGGGCTCTGGTGGCGGCGGCGGAGGCGGCGGCGGCGGTGGCGGTGAGTGGAGGAGGCGGCGGTGGCGGTGGTGGAGGTGGCGCTGGTCGGGGTGGCTCTATGCCGCGGGGAGGCTTCGGTGGTGGCCAGCGTCAACAGCAGCAGCGCTCTCGTGAGACCCCGCCGCCCCAGCAGCTTCGTGAGTGGTACGCTGCGCGTCAGCGATCTGGGGGTGCTGGTCCCTGTGCCTACGTCCTGCGTAATGGTGACTGCACTGGGGAGCTGTGTGGCGGGCCGCACACCACCCAGCGCTGCTTTGGCCGCCTGACTGACGCCTGGCGTCTCCAGTTCCCTGACGCCTCTGAGATTCCTCGCTGGGGTGATTTGCTCAAGTCGGGTGTAGCTATCTTTGATCTTGACTATGATGCTATTCTTGCTGCTATGTATGTTGTGTCTACTAGTGAGGAGGGTGACTGTTACCTGTGTGTTCCGCCTGACCCGGGCATTGCAGCTGCTGCTCTAGGTGCTCGCGAGTCCGCTGCTCCAGGTACTAGTGAGACTGCTGCTCCAGGTGCTGGTGAGTCTGCTCTCTCAGGTACCACGTCTGGTCAGGCTTTGCACACCTTCACCCTTGACTCGGGTGCTTCTCACTCCTTCTTTCGAGACCGCACCACCCTCACGCCGCTCAGTCGGCCGGTTGCGGTCTCCCTGGCAGACCCCTCTAGGGGTCCTGTCCTTGCCCACTTCTCCACTGTACTACCGTGTCCAGCGGCCCCGTCTGGCTCCATGTCAGGTCTTTACCTCCCCTCGTTCTCTACGAACTTGGTGAATGGTGCTGACCTGCAGGATGGGGGAGTTGACCAGTTCACTCCTGCGAGTCAGCGGGTGACCCACTGCACGTGTGCTCGGACGGGCCGACACTTGGCCACGTTTACCCGTCAGCCGGGGTCGAGCCTGTACACACTGACTACCGAGTCTCCTCCGGTTGCTGCGTCTGGTCAGGTTGTTGCGTCGGGTCAGGTGTTTGCTGCAGCGTCCAGGTCTGGTCCTGAGTCTGCCCCCTGCTCGTGTCGCCTCCTGTCCCACCAGACCCTCCTCTGGCACCACCGCCTTGGTCACCCCTCCCTGCCTCGTCTCCGAGGCATGGCCTCCCGTTACCTTGTCTCTGGTCTCCCCCGGTCTCTCCCTCCCCTTCCTCCGGGGCCTGCCCCTACCTGCGTTCCCTGCGTTGAGGGGCGGCAGCGCGCCGCTCCTCACTCCTCCGAGTTTCCGCCGACAGAGGCTCCGCTGCAAACTCTTCACATGGACGTGTGGGGCCCAGCCCGCGTCCGTGGACAGGGTCACGAGCGTTACTTCCTCTTGGTGGTTGACGACTACTCGCATTACACCGCAGTCTTCCCCTTGCGCACCAAGGGTGACGTCACTGGGGTGTTGATCGACTGGATCCGCGCTCCTCGTCTCCAGCTCAGAGAGAGTTTCGGCTCGGAATTTCCTATTCTGCGTCTGCACTCCGACAGAGGTGGAGAGTTTTCCTCTGACCTTCTGCGAGCTTTCTGCCGTGCGAGGGGCATCCGCCAGACGTTCACGCTTCCGGCCTCTCCACAACAAAATGGGATTGCTGAGCGCCGCATTGGCATGGTCATGGACGTCGCTCGTACGTCCATGATCCATGCGGCTCGGTTGCCTGTAGCTGCTGCCATTGTCGCAGATACAATCGCAATGATGGGGATATGAGAGCAATGACGGGCTGATGGGGTTATGATGGGGATATGAGAGCAATGATGGGCTGATGGGGATATGAGAGCAATGATGGGCTGATGAGGTTATGATGGGGTCAGAGCTGGGCAATCGCAGCCACGCCCCCACGACCATCTCATTCCCACGCCGTCTCACTCCCACCACCATCTCTGCCATGCAGGAAATGAATTCTGCTAGGGCAAAAAGAGGTTCACCAGGCATGTTGCGAACGGCTTGAATCAGCTCCTAGGAGAGGGATGGGTGTTGCGTAGGGTTTGAAGGAGAGTGTCTCCTTGAGTACAGTGTGTGTGGCGCCGCTGTCGAGTGTGAACTCTATGTATTGTGGTGCTTGTGATGAGCCGAGGTAATGGGTCAAGGGACTGAGGGAATGGGTCAAGGGACTGAGGGAATGGGTCAAGGGACTGAGGGAATGGGTCAAGGGACTCAGGGAATGGGTCATGGGACTCAGGGAATGGGTCAAGGGACTCAGGGAATGGGTCAGGGGACTGAGGGAATGGGTCAGGGGACTGAGGGAATGGGTCAGGGGACTGAGGGAATGGGTCAGGGGACTGAGGGAATGGGTCAGGGGACTGAGGGAATGGGTCAGGGGACTGAGGGAATGGGTCAGGGGACTGAGGGAATGGGTCAAGGGACTGAGGGAATGGGTCAAGGGACTGAGGGAATGGGTCAAGGGACTGAGGGAATGGGTCAAGGGACTGAGGGAACGGGTCAAGGGACTGAGGGTATGGGTCAAGGGACTCAGGGAATGGGTCAAGGGACTCAGGGAATGGGTCAAGGGACTGAGGGAATGGGTCAAGGGACTGAGGGAATGGGTCAAGGGACTCAGGGAATGGGTCAAGGGACTGAGGGAATGGGTCAAGGGACTCAGGGAATGGGTCAAGGAACTGAGGGAATGGGTCAAGGGACTGAGGGAATGGGTCAAGGGACTGAGGGAATGTGTCAGGGGACTGCTGCTGCGTTCGCTTCCGATTGGTTTGCAAGGAGTTATTCGAGTCGTGGGAGCACCACACGTATCTGCTCATGCTCGGCTTGTAAATCCGCGATTTTTCGTAGGAAATTTTCTCTCTTTCCCTCCATTTGGCGATATACACGAAGATGTGCCACGAAAATATATGAATTCTAGGTACTAGTCGACTTACTACAAGTCGAATCGACTATAGCATCGACGAGGGCGAAACCTGTAAGTCGCGTAAATCCTCCTTAGTCAAAATTCAAGTCCGTTCTCGGCCGTTGAGGAGAATCTCGATCCGACACTCCAAATTCCAACTTTTTTGGCGAAATTCTCTGGGCCGTTGAGATTCAAATCGATCTGAAGGTTGAAATTCCAACTTTTCTGCCAATAATCCTGAGGGGTGTTCGAAACCCGGATCGAGGGTTGCGCGGAAGTGGTGATACATACCCGAATCGGCGCTTTCGTTGTCACCCCCGTGGTTTCTAAAGGCCGATTTGAAGTGGTTGAAGACCTCGGGTGTAAACCCGCTCTGAGTACCAAATGAGAGGATCTGGTTCAGGAAAGAGAAATCCATTCAATGATCACATGGGTACAAGGCAAGGCTATATATAGGCTTGACACAAAGGCAGTAACTTCGGGTGTTACTAGAAGGTGCCGCGGGTCGCGAAGCGTCCCGAACGGTTCCTTTCCGAATTCGGCAGAAGGCAAATCGGTGGCAACCGAAGAGCCTAGAATTAGGTCCACTCAACCTTGTTCGGTGCCTATAACTAGAATAAATATAGTAAAAGCAAAATACAGCAAAAGCATGCAAGATAAAATAAAGCTAAGTTAGATAATGCATAATAAAGAAGAATCAAGCAAGTAAAGACCAGCAAAGCCGTTGTACTCTCGCACCGTCTCCCAATTCGATCCTGACAAAACAACTCGTAAAGCCCACAACTACAACAGCACAGCACGTCGAGTTACCACCACCGAACTCTTCGTAAGACACCCTCCGCTCCAGCCACGACAGCGACGACGATGTTGTCGAAGTTACCAGCTACCACGACTACGATCGTCTCGTTTACGAGTAGACCAACGAAACTGGCCTCCGCATCCTCGGCCTCGCTGTCGCAGTTCGCCACACCTCACCCAAGGAACCCACCACTGTGCGTCAAGCCCTGTCTAGGCCCGACAGCGAGAAGTGGAAGGCAGCCATGGCGACAGAAGTAGCAGCACTGAAGCGTCGCGGGACTTGGAAGCTCGTTCCCTGATCATCTGCATAGGGGAGACAGATCCTCAGCGACAAATGGGTTTTCTGGATAAAAACTCTTGCGGATGGCTCCATCGACAAATATGAGGCAAGATGGGTGGTACGCGGCTTCAAGCAAACTCACCTGGTGGATTACGACCAGACCTCCGCCCGCATTCTCATCTGCATCGCAGCCGTCAAGCACCGCCCGCTCCGACAGATCGATGTCGGAAGCCGTTCCTATACGCGCCCGTCGACGCCATAATCTTCGTCGAGAAACCACACGCGCTCAAAGAAAGCGATAACGTCGTCTGCCTCCTCTAGAAATCCCTCTACAGCATCAAACAAGCACCCTGTCTGTGGCAGCAGTACCTGCATACCGTCCTCACGGAACTCAGATTCGTTCAGCACCGCACGACCAAGAGATATACCGGAAGGAATCTCGCAGCAAATTCATCCTTCTCGTCGCTTACGTCGACGAACTGCTTTACACCGTTGACGACACGGAGCTACTTGGCCTAATTTGAAGAAGAGATTAAGGAGAAGCTTGAAGTGATGATCAACCACAATGTTACTCAATTCATGGGTCTTAACATGACCCAATCCGCCACCTCCATCCACCTCCCCGCTACCAAATATGCAGAAACGCCCGTGAAGAAATTCGCTATCGCCCCGATCAATCTCACCACCCCCTTTCACAGTCCTCCTCCTAACCACGAACCCAATACCACACCACTCTCCATCCAAAATCATCGGCTCTATCAGCTGCAATTGGGGTGTCTCCTTTTTGCCGCCGTCACGTGCCGGCCGGATCTCTCCTACGTCGCAAGCCAGCTCGCGCAGTATCTGCGTCGACCTGAAGGGGAGAGTCTACTAGGCCTACGCCAAGCACTCCAATACTTCATCTCTATCCCTGACGTCGGACACACCTACGAAGCTAATTTAACTGCTACCATGCAGCTTCACGGCTACGTAGACGCGGACCATGCGGGAGATGTTGACAACAGACGAACCTGCACAAGATTCATTTTTCAACTCCAACCTTTTGGACTCATTTCCTGGAACTCCCAGAAGCAAGAGCTTATTGCTGTTTCGTCAGCTGAAGTTGAGTTCATCGCCGCCAGCGTAGCTGTTCCCGAAGGGCTATACCTAATGGAGCTCTTGCAAGAAGCGAAAGTGATGATGAACGGGCACTTCACGTTACTCTGCGACTACCAAAGCGCTATCAAGATTACGAACAAGCCCGACTTTGTGAACCGCACAAAGCACATCGCACTCCGTTACTTCTTCGTCAAGGACAAAATCGACAAAGGGAAGGTCAAACTCACGTACTGCCCAGCCGGTGACATGGCAGCAAATTTCTTGACCAAGAAGCTGCCACGTCAGAAGTTCCAGCACTGCGCCAACCTCTGCGGGATCTCGAAGAAATCCCACATGGCTCACCTTGAGGAATGAAGGGGAGTGTTGGAATAACTGAAAGATTATTATTACATTCTCGAAGGTTCTCTCCAAGCGCGCCACTTCATAACATAGCACCGCTACTGCACCAGTACCGCAATAGCTCATATAGAGCATGCGGCAGCTCGAGAGTCACCCGAAGGTCAATAGTCGCTGATAGTCAACGGTCGCGGCTGTTGACCGACCGGCAACCGCATCAGAGGTTACGTGATGCAACATGGTAACTGTCGAGAATGGCAATAGTCGCAGCTACTGTAGCTATGCAATACAGTTAAATAAGAGAATGTACCCCTCACAGTACATGGCTAGCTATATTTCTAATCCATCCCTTTGTATTTCTATCTTAATCATGTTGTTCTCTTTCAATCTTAATTATAAAGGTCACTACAAGACTTCACTGTCTTCCAACAACTTAGCAGTCTTATTCTGTCCACTTCGATCCTTCAGCTATAATAACATCAAAGAGATATATTTGTATGTTCTAGGCTGTAGTGATGCATGCATTCGAGAGTTTAGGCTGTAGTGATGTATGCATGTTCTCGCTCCTCGCTCCATCCGCTCTTCGAGCCCGTGGTTTCTAGCCTGACATTCTCGCTCCGGCCGTGCCTCGCTCCAGTCGTTCCTCCTTCCAACCACTTCTAGCTAAGTCTGCTCCGTGCTTTGGCCGTTCCTTGCCTAATTTCTCGTGGCACTCCTAACTGTTAGAATCTAGCAGCAGGAATGAATGAACTATGAAAGGGTTGGGTACAAGTATGAAACCCTAAAAGGGGCTGTACCCCATATTGGCTACCCCACTACAGCCTAAACATATATAGCATATATATACTTTGACACTAACTATTCTCACTCCTCACTCTCAGCTCATTTTGCTCCGTGCTCCGGCCATTCCTTGCCTAGTTTCACCTAGTTGTTCTCGCTCCTCGCTCCTGCCGCTCCTCAAGCCCGTAGTTTCAAACTTAAAGTCTGTCACTCGTGCCTCACTCCAGCCATTCCTCGTTCTAGTCGCTTCTAGCTTACTTTGCTCTGTGCTCCAGCCGTTCCTCGCCTAGTTTCACCTGGCGCTCCTAGCTGTTCTCACTCCTCGAACCTAGCTCCGGTCGCTCTTAGCCTGCCGCTCCTGCACCCTGCTAGCCTTTACCATGGCGTCCACTAGAGTTTTTCAGCAGCAGGGACAGCAGTAGCAGCAGCTTCAGCAGTGGGAACCTCAGCAGCAGTGGCGCCCTCAACAGCAATGACACCCTCAGCAGAAGTGGCGCCCTCAGCATCAGTGGCGCCCTCAGCAGCCGTGGGGGCCTGGTGGTTCGGGTAGCGTTGGCTCCAGCAGCGGCCCAGCCAGCTGGGGGGCTCGTCGCGGTAGCCGCGACGTCGGCCCCTAACTGGCCCTGGTGCTGGCACTGCCTGTTGGCGTCCTGACCATTCCGCACAGCGCTGCTACATTCGCCTCGACGACCTTTACCGTGAGCGTTTTGGGCCTGAGTCGAGGCCACCGATCTGGCCCGGTCTGTCTTGAAGTGGTTACCTTGTATTTGATATATCTATGGATGATGTGTATTTTGTCACGTGTGGATCACTTGGCTTGCGTGTACCTAGCTTAGGATCTTTGCCTGTTGCTAGTGTAGGTACTTGTGCGTTTAGTGTAGGTGCTTGTGTAGTCACTAAACCAGCCGTAACAACTGCTGTCGCGTCGCTCTCCTTCACGCTGGACTCAGGCGTGTCTTAGTGCATCTTTCACGACCACACCACGGATAAGCTCTCGGCTCGCGCCATCCCCTTTATCTTCCTTAGTTTCCCGATGGACTCTTGTGACTTTTCGTTTTACCACACGCCCCTCCACCGTTTCCTCGACTCCCGTAACGTCCGGTTTTACGAGTCTGTGTCCTACTACACCCAGTACCCCTGCCGAGGTCTCCCAATCCCCCCTCCTCTTTTCCGTGCACCCTCTCCTCCTCCTGCTCCCACTCTGCCGGCCCCCCGGCCCGCCCCTGGTCCTGCCCCGTCAAGTGTGTCTCATGCTACCCCTCTACCCTCGGTCGACGCGTCACAGTCCCCTGAGTAGCCTTTGGCACTTCCGCGACAGGCTACTGTAGACTCAGTGGGTATTGGAGGCCTGGGGGTGCTCTCTTGAGGGGTGCTGGAGTTGGGGGTGCTAGCACTGGAGGTGCTAGTTCGGGGGTGTTGGAGCTGGAGGTGCTGGCACAAGAGATGCTAGTTTTTGGGGTGCTGGAGCTGGAGGTGCTGGCGCTGGAGGTGCTCGATCTTGGGGTGCTGGAGCAGGGGGTACTGGCACTAGAGGTGCTAGTTTTGAGCAAACTAGAGCTGGAGGCACTACTACTGCGCCTCCCCACCGCCACGGCACACGTCTCCTGGCGGCTCGCTGACGT